CTTGTCAAAGCCAGTTCTGATTAATCTTCTTTGTCAGTGTGTCCTTTGCCATTCCCTATCACTCCTCCCTGAGAGAGACTTCACCCTGAGTCATAAGGAAAAGGGGATGGCGTATTCTCTTAGCTACTTCCTGCTGAAAAGGGACGCTGTGGGTTTCAGGGTGAAGGATCTATTCAATTTAATGCCGAGGCCGGCTAGTCCCCTTGTAGGGATTGGTGAGACTACCAAATACTCTTGTGGATTGGCTACATGCCCTATTCACATACTCCTGCCCGTCCACAGACAAAGTAAAATTCAGTGGCTAGTAAGTAATTTTGAATGATAATCAGGTTGCATTTAGAAGAGGCCATGACATGAGGGGTATCATTGCTGAGGTCAAATGGATTTTGGTTGAAAGCAGACAATACGAGAAGGATGTTTGTCTGTGTATTCTTGACTATGCAAAGACATTTTACTATGTAGATCATAACAAATTATGGCTAGCATTGCAAAAGATGGGATCCCAGAATATTTAATTGTGCCCAGGTGAAACCTATATCAAGAAGCAGTTGTTTGAACAGAACAAGAGAAGATTGCAGGTTTAAAACCAGGAAAGATGTGCACCAGTATTCTATCATTTCTTCTTACCTGTGTGCTGAGCAGATTATTTGAGAAGTTAGACTCTATGAAGAAAAATGTGGCATGAGGATTTAGGAAGATTCATCAGCAACCTGTATTATGACACAACCTTGTTTGTGAAAGTGAAGGAAACTTAAAGCAATGACTGCAGAAGATCAAAAGATTCAGCCTTCAATATGGGTTACATCTCAACATCAAAAATGAATGTCCTCACCATTGGACCACGGTAGCAAGAAGACCATGGTAGGCAGAGGAAAGATTAGTGTTGTCAGCAATTTCATTTCACTTGGATTCAAGATAGCAGCCATCAAGAAATAATTATAAGACTAAGGTGTGCCTCATCCAAGCCATGGTAATTTCAGTTGCTTCCTATGTATCTCAAAGTTGGACAGTGAATAAAGAAGACCATAGAAGAATGAACGTCTTTGAATTGTGGTGATGGTGAAAAGTACTGACTATAACATAGCCTGCCGAAACAACAAACAACTCTGTCTTAGAGGAAGTACAACCAGGATGCTCCTTAAAGGCAAGGAGGTGAAACTTTGTCTTATACTTTGGGCATGTTGTCAGGAGGAACAGTCCTTGGAAAAAAGACATGCTGAGAAAGGGAGAGCATCAGCAAAAGAGACCCTCAACAAGATGGATTGACACAATGGGCTTGACCGTGGGGGAGTCCTTGAGGATGGCGCAGGATAGGACAAGATTTTGATCTTTTGTTCATAGGATCACTATGAGTTTTATTCCACTCAAAGGCACTTACCAACAACAACAATACACTTTCCTGCCCCTGAATACAAGCACAGAATGCAAAATTTAATTAATTCAGATTTGGCCTTGGGAAATATATCAAAGGACAAAATAATAAGGAAACTGAGAAACCCAAAAATAATGATGTTGATTGACCATGAAATCCAGGAAAAAATTAAACAGGAAGAAGTTAATTGGTAAAATTGGTGGGAGTTTGAGTTCTAAAGGAATTATTAAGGCAGAAGGGCAATGTTTAGTGTCAGTGAGGGATCAGCAAAGAAATAATCTTAAAGACTATAGAAGAAAGGGAAAGTCTGATTTTAAATTTCAGGAAGCATAAAAGTTTTAAGATGAGGCAAAGGTCTCTAGTTTTGGCTTCTGAAGTGAATTGTTTAAAAGAAATGTGGGGGGGGGAATTAAAGATTTTAGTAAGTCATCTTTTTTACCTCCTTTCCTGTTACTAGGTTGTGATACCAAATTGTCTCTAAATCTCACTTATATTTTTCTATTACAACATGTATATATTATAACTGTTAAGTGCAAAGTGTAGCTGAATTACAGCAAAGGTGGTTTTGGCCCTGTACACTGGGGCCTTTTATTCTGTTCTTTACTGGGAATAATGCAGTTGTTAATATTCTTCAAGGGAATTCTGGTTATGTTGTTCATAGAAGTTGTGCTGCTAATCCAAAGTGGTTTCTCTTTGGTTTGAATCCACCAGCAGCTCCTAGGGAGAAGGTTGGACAGTCTCCTCCTGTGTGATGTACAGTCTCAGAAATCCCTTTGAACAATCAGCTCTGAGTTGATTTCAACTCCACAGCAGTGAGAAAGAGAGATATACAAAGTCAACAGTGATAGTTATGTTCAGGTCAGAACCAACATATAACTGGCCATCTGATGGGTTTTCAGAGGCAGATAATCACACGAGAAGAGATTGTCCATCTTTCTCCTACAGAGCAGCTGGTGGATTCGAACCAGGTGTCTTTGAGATGGAAGTGTGGATTCTTACCACTAGGCCACCAGAGCTCCCTAGATAGTTAAGTTATATATAAGTCCACTTAGTTCTTACTGTCTTAATTTCTTTTTCTTCTTCTTCTTTCACCCTAGGTTGTAGGTAGTATGGATGCTCACCCAAGCAGATACTGTGCTACAGTAAGAGTTCAAAGACCTCGACAGGAGATCATCCAAGATTTGGCCTCCATGGTTCGGGAACTTCTTATTCAATTTTATAAGTCAACTCGATTCAAACCTACCCGCATCATCTTTTATCGGGATGGTGTTTCCGAAGGACAATTTAGGCAGGTTGGTTGCCTGACATCCAGTTATATTACCATTAAATCACACACTGTGTTTGGAATATGATATCCTGTTCTGAAGTTAAAAGCCTTAGTTTAGAATTCCTAAAGTCATGATTTGATTCTTCAGTAGATTTTCCTTTTTTATCATTTCACTAGTGATACAGATATGTAGCTGTGATTGCTAAATCTCTCCTTTCATTATTGTTAAAATAGAATAAAGATATGAAATTGTAAGATTAAGAAGCCCCAGAATTAAATCACTATTTTACTTTAAAGCGTATAAAAGGGATCAGCTTTCAAACTTTCCTATTTCATCTTCTCTAGGTATTATATTATGAACTACTAGCAATTCGAGAAGCCTGCATCAGTTTGGAGAAAGACTATCAACCTGGAATAACTTACATCGTAGTTCAAAAGAGACATCATACTCGATTATTTTGTGCTGATAGGACAGAAAGGGTAATCTTACATCTATTACAGTAGTGTCATAAGCTAAACTTAGCTAACATAGTTCATAGAGCACTTAACCAGGGCTTTCCTGCAACAGTACTAGTTCCAATATATAGAAGCAGATTACAGAAAAACAGATGATGAGTAAGGAAGCATCAAGATGGGTTAATTTTCTTGGTTTAACTTTCTGTTCTAGTAACACTCTAAATATTCAAAATCTTCCTTCTTTATTTTGTTATTACTTTATAGGAACTCAAGAGTTTTTAAATTAATCTTTCTATTTATCTTTTCCTTAAATACTCAGAATAAAAAAGTACATTCTTCTGAAATAGTTTTTAAAATCATGCTACCTACTTTAAAACAGTATTTTCTTTAAAATTCACAGAATTTGTTTTTAAATTTTATAATGTGAATATATATTTTTATAATTAGGAAAAGAAAAGGTAAATAAATACCAGGGAACTGTTTCTTCTTGTCTGTATGCAACATGGACATATAACAGTCTTGCTGTCACTTCCAGTGACCTGACACCATTTATAATCCCAAAGGCATGCATTTCGATTCCACCAGATGTTCCGCTGGAAGAGTCAGTCTCCTCCTATGCCAGTGGGATCCGATTTGATGGTACAGAACAACAAAACAAGGAATAGGCATAATTGAGCACATTTTGAACTGTTACCTTTATCTTATGCTTTGTGAAGGCAGTCCATGCATCTGTGCTTCAAGCCATTACTGATAACAGTCTGCTACGTAGTAGAAATAATGTCAGAGCTACTAAAATAGTTTCTGATTTGCCAGCCTTATAATCCTTGACTTATAATGTGGTCTTAGAAATAAGGAAATGGAGGTAAATATACATGTGCATTTTAAAGTATTTTTCTAGGAGCTTTTTATTATAATAATTCTGTTCTCTTACAAGATTCTGAAATTGATAGTACGAAATAAAGAGAATAGGGCCTTTGAAATAATTGTTGCTGTTGTTGTTGTTGTTTTTGATTGCTGTTGAGTCGAGCACGACTCATAATGATCCTATGAACAAAAGACCTGAGACCTTTCTGTAACTATCGCTGTCTCTCAAAGTTCATAGAGTTTCCAGATGCATGTAGTGAATGCCATTCCTGCTTCCAAACCTGTGTTAAACTAGGAGCTCCACCAAACACTGTTCACCATAGGCAGCCATTATGGCATTTGAGACCCTAGTGACACAAGGGTCAGCGTCACAGCAAACCCAGATTACCTCAGCACAGCAAATTGACAGAAGAATGCTGTATGAGAAGAATGTTCCTTCAAACTGTAGTAACAAGGGATTAAAAATACGAGACAGTAAGGAATGTATATTAGTTGATCTAGAGAAACTCCTAACCAGGTGAGCTAACTTTGGATAAATAATTTAGATTTTCCATTGATATTTTCCCATGTTTAGGTTAGTTTTTCTATGCCTGTGATATTTTTTTTCCCAGCATGATTTTTTTTTCCAAAAAATGAAGAGCAGAAAGAACACTGTAAGCTCAGTTGGAATAATGTTGCTTAAAGCTTCTAAGCAATATTGCTTTTTTCTTTGGAGGACTTTGTGGATTTCTGCTTGTCTGGATAGTTAATTTGCTACTGATAATGATTTCTGTCTTATAAGAGAAAATATCAAAGATGAAAAGAACTTTACAAGATGTAAAGGAGTAACTGAAATCATTACAATGATTACATCCAGTTGTGATATTTATTGTGCTCTACTGGAAATATAGAACCTGAGCCTTACTGTGGTTGTTTACCATCAGCTTGGAGCCAACTCTGGTGGAATTTCAGAGACAGCAAATTGTGGAGCAGTTGGTAGATTTGAACCACATACCTTTGGATTGTTGTTGTTGTTGATTGCCATTGAGTTGAGCACGACTCATAGCAACCCTATGAACAAAAGGCCTAAAGCCTTTCTATAAGTATCGTCATTTATCAAAGTTCATCGAGTTTCCAGAGGCATGATGTTTAGGAAGCAGATGCCACTCCTGCTTCCAAACCTTTGGATTAACAGCACAATTCTTACCACTAAACCACCAGCTCTCCCCTGAATTTAGTTGCCTCAAACAAGTGGGAATAATATCTAATTTACAGGAATGTTAGGACGGCTAAAAATCATACATATGTCCTAGTACATAAATGCTTAAGAAATAGTGCCGTTTATTAATGTTGTTGTTAATTTTATTTCTGAAAATAGAGGAAAACTTCCAATTTTCACTAGATACACATTGAAGGGTACTTACTGTGCCCAAGTACCATAAATTGGAACTCTACTTTTAAAAAAAAATGCATTGCACTCATATTGGCATGAACTGCAAGCTAACCATCAGTAGGGGTAACTCTCTCAGCAACTTTTTTAAGAATGAAAAATTTTTCTTTTTGAAATTTCTTGCAATACTTTTTTTAAAAAAATTTTACACTAGTTTACCTATAAAGTTCATGTACATTTCTTCTGATACCATATCCCCCCAACTCCTCAACACCGCCACTCTGCTCATCAAGCCTTACAACCCCATGATTATGCTCTTGTTGATCCCCACTTCTCTGCTGCCCCCACTTAGATCCTCATACACCTTTACTAGTGATCTATTTCTACAATAATGGTCTTATACAGTATTTGTCCTTATGGAACTAATACTCTCCAGTCCTTCCCAAGTTAGGTAGTGATTTACAGAATCATTACTCTTGCTTACTACATAGTATTCCATCATGTTAATGTACCATAATTTCTCAATCCACTCAATTGCAGTTTGATATTTGGGTAGTTTCCATGTTCTTGTGAAGGTGAATAGCATCTCAGCAACATTCAAGGATGTAAAGCTAAGCCACCTAAGATGATCTTTCAAAATGACAAAACATACAAGTCAACAGATTCAAATCTTCAGGCCTATTTTTAGAACACCTGTGAAACTGGCCAGGCCATCCAAAGTAAACATATATGAGAAGCCACCAAGTGTTTAACAGATGTCACTTTGTAGAAGTACTGTGTATTTCTCTAACTTTAAGGGGTAGTGTTGTTGGTAAATGCCCGTAGGCCAAACTGTGAAGCAGGACGCAGGATTGGTGGTCCAAAAACAGTTCTGCTTTCTCTTGTACAAGCTTAGAAACACAGAAAATAGTGGTGAACTTTAGAGTTTAGATGTGGATTCTTTGGTCATTGAGCACAGTCTGGTGAATAAAGCTCTTAAAACAAACCACCATATATTCACGGAGCTCCTGTAGCCATGAACAAGCTCCCCTTGCCATGTGATGCTCACATGGAGTACATTGTTCCTAAACCACAAGAAGAGGTTGCACAAAAGACAAAAAGATAATCCTAGAAGAAAGTGAAAAAACAAAAATTTATACTTTAGGCTGTAAATCCAGCATAAAAAAAGTAAACAAAAGAATTTAAGAATAAGCCAAGACTAGAATACTTTATGCTGTTAATGCTTATGAAATTTTCAAACTGAACACAATCATCTATATAGTTTTGTTGTTGTTATGTCATAGAATCGACTAAAACTCATAGCCGGGTAAGCACAACAGCTCTGAACCCTGCTCTATCCTTAGCCAACCTCACTGTCTCTGACACACCTACCTTCATTATCCCAGTTTTCTTTCAATCCATCTAATCCAGGATCTTCCTCTCCTGCACTGTCCCTCAACCCTTCCAAGCATGGAATCTTTCTCCAAAGATTGGTCTCTCTTGGCCATGTGCCTAAAGTATGTGAGACAGAATCTCAAAATTCTTGTCTCCTGGAACAGCTTGGTTCCACCCTCTCCAGAACATATCTGTTAGTTACGTTGTTATGTTCAGTGCTGTTCTCTAGCATTACAACTCAAAGTCATCAGTTCTTCTGTCATCTTTGGTCACTGTTCAGCTCGCTGATGCATAGCAAGTAATTGCGAAGACTATGGCTTGGCTCAGGCACACCGTATTTTCTAGACTGACATCCTTGTTCTTCAGCACTCTGGAGAGGTCCCTTACAGCAAATTTTCCTAATGCAATACGTCTTTCCAATTCCTGACTGTTAGCGCCAGGAGTGTTGATTGTGGAACTGAGCAGGCTGAAATTGTTAACAATCTCAGTCTCTTTTTCATCTCTCATGATGCTGAAAATTGGCCCAGTGGTGAGAACATATATTTTCTAAAAAATGCTTTTCCTGTTTGACTCTAGGTCGGAAGAAGTGGCAATATCCCAGCTGGAACAACAGTTGATACAGACATTACCCATCCATATGAGTTTGATTTTTACCTCTGTAGCCATGCTGGAATACAGGTAAGTCTATAGATAAAATGTTTCAATTCAGCAGTTCTCATTGTTATGCCTACTTTTGAAATTCCAGGAAAAACATTCTTCATTCAATTATAACAAATTATTTACATAAGAAATCTTATGAAACTTTTGAGTAGGAAGCATTGGTAGCATAGTCCATAGGGAGTTGCACTACTAAATGAGAGGTAGAGCTTCTGGTAGTTAGAATTCACCAACAGGCACCTCCACAGGAGAAAGGTGGACAATATCAGCTTGTCCTCCGGAAACCCTCTGGAGGGTCAGGAGGGTCAGCTGTGCATCAGTTCCAACTCAATAGCAATGAGTTTTTCATTCAATAAATAACTATTTCTCTCTCTGGTCTGTGCATTGCTGTACAGAGGTAACTTGTGGTTGCTATGATGCTAAACACTGTAACACTGATGTGCCAAATGTGATAATGGTTACCCATGGTGGACAGTGTTTAGTGGAGCTTCCCGACTAAAACAAGCTTGGAAGCAGGAGTGGCATCCACTTCCGAAATGGCTTGCCTCCAGAAACTC